TTCTTTCAGACTCCATCTCCCAGCCATTTATTGTCAGCTAGAGACCTCTCTCTTCTTCAGCCTATTCTACTACTTTTGCTCCAGAAACAGAAAGCCATTTAAAACAACAAAAAAATAAACAAAAATCTTTCCCCTTTATAGTTCTAGTCCAATTAAGATCTTGCTTGCATATGAGAGTGCAGGTTGAGGGCTTTTTCAGACAAGGATGGTAACAAAAAACGAGTAAATTTTTTTAAAAAAAGTAGAAATAAGAGAAATGGGTCAAAGTAGAAAGAAGAGTAAATAGTGTTTCCCTGTCACACACAACTTTGCCTGTCTTTCCTCGGTACCCTCAAAAAAGACCCCACCACCTCAAGCCAAACTCAAAGGCTCTGGGTTTTCCTGGCTTATTTCCTCCAAACTAAACAAAGGATACCTCACAGGTAACTCTGACAAACTTAACTTGCATTGAGATACAGAAAATATCTGCTGTCATCAAACAGGGAAACACGAGACTCATAATACAAATGTTATCCCATATTCTCCTCCAGGATCCATCATCCTTCCTACAACGCGAGTTTCACCTTAGCCCTACTGCCACTTTTTTGAAGACAAAGAATTCTGGCCCCAACGGAGAGAAAACAGGGAGGAACCTGTATATCTGAATACAACTGTTCACCTTTTCCGTATTTCCTCATTAAATCAACACAAAACTGCATTACTGCTTCAAGCCTGGGAGATCGTGAAACACACACAAGCACGCGTGCTGGACTGTGGAAGCTATGAGGATGAAAAGAATGGCGTTTTATAAGCTGCGATGAACAATATAAAAGTCAGCTTAGAATATTTTCAAGCTCACTCTCTGGATCATGATTTATACTACCTGAGAATACATGGAAAATGATCAGGGATTTTCATCTCACCAATCTTACTTAAGGAGCAAATATAGTTAGCCACATCCAAAACTGAAGAATAATTATGGTTTCCAGGACAAAGTAGGACAGTAGTATGTGACATGAATACAAAGCTTCCAAGCAATGAGAATAAAAATAGCGCTTCCTTTTACAAAATTGTTGATTCCACAATTCAGTCCGGCCCCTCACCTCCATCGCTGGTTATTAACTGATTTGTGAAGCGACAGTGGAACATCAGGCTCAGAATCCGTAAGTCTAGGGAATCTCAACGTCAGCCCCCACAGCGAAGTCACTTTGCCTTTCTGTGCCTTTGGTTTGTATCTATAACCAGGAACAAACACTACCTCATAAACTTGTTAAGAGAATTATGTGTGTGAAAGTATGGTGAGAATAATGTTCTGTAACATGCTTCCTCCACCTGTTTGCTCTCAATATTCAAATCACTTCTGTGGAAATGAGCCAAACCGCCTTTTAAATTAAACACACATACACACTCAAACAAATGCATTACCCACTTCATATATGAATGTAATCTTGGCCAAATATTTTTCAGCTCATCTAATTAGTAGGAAGCTGTTTGCTTTTCCCATATTCATGTAACAAATATTAAAACTAAGTGAAGCCTTGGGCCAGTCCCAGTGGCTCAAGCCTGCAATCCTAGCACTGTCTGGGAGGCTGAGGCGGGAGGATCGCTTGAGCTCAGGAGCTCGAGACCAGCCTGAGTAACAGTGAGACTCAGTCTCTACTAAAAACAGAAAAATTAGCCAGGCATGGTGGCACACAGCTCTAGTCCCAGCTACTTAGGAGGCTGAGGCAGGAGGATCGCTTGAGCCAAGAAGTTTGAGGCTGAAGTGAGCTTTGATGATGCCATTGCACTCTAACCCGAGTGACAGTGAGACTGGTTCAAAAAAAAAAAAAAAAGAAAACCACTAAGTGAAGCCTTAATGACTGCTTTTTATTTATAGTGCTTGCAGAGCAATGGAAAAAAGCATACCTAGGTAAAGGACTCTTTGGGGGGGGGAGTGGAATCTGGCTATCAAACAACATTCTCCACACGTTTGGTAAGACCTGAAAGCACAAAGCCAAAAATCATACCTAAGCTAAACCAAAGGTGAAATCACGTAAGAAGACTGTTTACTGGAGCTAATGCAAAAACAAGTTGATACTATTTACTCTTCTCAGTCTGCAGATGGAAACATACCAGGCCAGTTATACAGATGTAGTAACGCCACTGACTTATAGAACAATGCCTAAGACAAAACTACACGCCCAATTTTTAAACTATCAATTATGATCCCCAAAATGACAAAGTATACTGCACACGTAACATTAGCTTTGATATAAATCCCAATCACATCTTACAACGTAAAAACCATGTTCACCCTTGTCTATAAATGCACACTTGGATTCTCCCCATTTTTGACACCCACTACTAATTGTTAGTGAGATATCATTAATAACAGTCTCGCGATTTTTTAATCACAGTAATCCCATATGGTATACATCTATCTTTACTACCTAACTTTAACTATTTCAGATCAGGCATCTTCAGGTGGGTAGACGGAAGGCTTTTACATTATTCCTTCTTGTAATTAAAGAAATTACAAATTATTACCACACAGTTATCTCTAACAAGTTTTTTTTTAAGTATTATTATATACTAACGAAAAAATTTAACCCTTAATATTTTCAAAATTACTGTTTAGAAGGCAATCACACCAAAGAGCGTATGTAGCTTCCACCTAGAGATGCCACTGGCCACAAATATTAACAATGAAAAGAGAACTTTCGTTTTACTAGAAAGACTTGTACAAAAGATATCAAGTCATGCATCCCACATTCCTGACTTCAAATTAATTTAGTTTGGAAGTTTAATATAGTTCCAGAGTTGAAATATTTACAAGTTAAAAACAGTATGAAGACTGGATGATGATATCCACCAAAGAGGATCCATTCCATGGAAACTTTTGAGATACCTAGCTTCTAATATTATTCGTGTCTTTTTGGCTCTAAGAAGTAAAATCTGTGCATGCTGAATGAGCAGCGGAAATCTAGTAAGTTGATTTATGTCACTACACGTTAGCTTTCCAAAGATGGGGAAAACAATCAACACTGGATCCACTAAGCTTCAGTCACACCTTCACACCCAGTATTACCCTCTACAATCTCCAACATAAACTCTACCTCGAGCTCATCTCCCACTCATTTCCATACCACGCTTGTTTTTCCTACCAGATTCAAAGCTTCTTCAGAATACGCATACTTATTCTTCACTGCTTTTCATTCCCCTCATAGGAGTATGAAATCTTGGATATTCAATAGGTGTTCAATATTTAAACACAAAGTACTAATTTAAAATAGAATTGATTGTATAATCTCAGAAGATTAAAAGTAATCTCAATGTTTTCACTCTTTATTTTACAGACAGGAAAACAAGGACCAAGTGAAATGGTTGCTCCAAAGTCTGTCACAATTACTCACATAGGAGCAGAAAGATGATTAGTGTCCAGGTCTAACTCAAAGTTGAGTGGTCTTCCAATCACACCATCACTTCCCTTTCAATGTTTTCTTCATAAATGACTAGTCAACTAGCCAATTATTCACTCAAAGTCTTACAGGGTCAAGAAACAGGAGATGCAATACATTGCTACCATTAAAATTCAGCTGCAACAGATGATACACCACCTCATCAACCCACAGTGGAGTTCTGTTCATGCTCGGGATAAATAAATCTAAATTGGACTTACTTAAATTCCAACTGTTCACAGCATGGTTTCTGAAAAAGTCTGTCTTAAGAACATATACATCAAACTCCTGAGCCTAATTTTCACATCGCACTACAAACAAATAACTGTTTTTACTACTATGAAATGCTAATATGATATTCCACTATTCTGTACTAAAATGACACCCTGCAAAGTTAACTTTGAAAAGGGAAGTTAAAATTTTTACAGTGGCGATCAACATTTTGCATACTTCAGAAAACGAAGTTATAAGACTTTTAAAATACAATGCACAGCTAATAGCTAAAGAGATTCACCTGTTTTGGGGGGGGACCAAACCGGATTCGGTTAATAAAAAATTCAAAGGTTAGCGTTATTAAGTGGACTACAACATTCCATTTTCAACATCTGTGAGATAAACCCTAAGCACAATGTCTGGGCTATGCTAAGAGCTCAGTCGCCAGTTATTACTACTACTACTACTTGCAGCCATAAAATACAATCAAGCAACTTTTTCAACACAGAGGATACAAAATGTGCTGCTCTTCTAGTCTATGATGCTCATTTTAAAAAACAATGGCAACAGGCCAAGTGTGTTAAGCTTACAGAAAGGTTCCACAGTACCCAATTTGAGTCACCATGTAAATCATAGATTAAACTAACACTTGATTTCCAATCCAAAAGCTCCTCATGTAGTATGACTCACCATATTCTCCATTTCTTCCATCTATGAAACTAAGTTATACTCCTCCCTTATAACTACCATCATGACCTTCGTAGAAATTAGGTTAGAGATTAATTTTAAAATTCCTGAAGATACCCTTTAAATAGGTCTCTGCAGAAGATGGCTTGGTGAGTGTAATGAAACTGTACAGGACGGCATAGCGCTGCGACCTTCAGACAGGGTCTGGTAGCCGGCATACGAGCCTGCCTTCGCGGGGACCCTCCGGGCAGCGCCGGACATAAGGATAAGGCCTGAGCACAAGTGAAAAGCCTGTCACCCCACTGGGGCGGCCCGGGCCCCACTCCCAAGCCACAGAACCCAAGCCCCCTCGCCTGGATCTCAAAACCGTCCCCGACCCTGCTCCGCAGGGTCCCCGCGGCCCCTGCCACCGCGCCCGGCGCCAGGGCCGGGAGACTCAAAAGCCCCGGAGTCGGGGTAACGGCGCCATTTTAGGCGGCGGTGGCGGCGACAACCAATCCCCGCGCGGGAGGCAGGGGGCGCCGGGTCGCTCGGAAGCGGCCGCCGGCCGGGCCGGGCGCCGGGCTGGGAGGCTAGGGGGCCCCGGCCGGCGGTCTCCGCCATGTTGCACCCTCCCCACGGCCGCCTCCTTCCCGGCGGGCTCGGCCCCGCGGCGGCTGCCGCAGCCAGACTGCGGCTCACCTTCTCGCAGAGGCTCTTGACCTGGGACTCGGACAGCTGCTTGCACTCGTTCAGCTGCTCGATCCACTGGTCCAGCTCCTTGGTGAACACCTTCTCGTCCATGATGCCGCCCGCCCGAACCGGCTGCCGCTCCTCACTCCTCCCGCGCCGCCGCCCGCACACGGGCCACACGCACACGCCGCCGCCGGCTCCCGAGGGACTTCTGTGGCCACTGGCGGTTGCTCGGCGCCGGCCCGCTGGCTCCGTACGCAGTGCTCGGCCGCCGGCCGCTGCGCCTCCTCCGCTCGCCCTAGCTCCGGAGCGCGGCTCTCTGTAATGGCGGCCGCCCGGCGTGGTGACGTCACGCCCGGCGTCAGGAGGCGGGCGCTGCGGGGAGGCGGGCCGGGGCGCGAGCTGCGCAGCCGCAGGGCAGACCCGGCCGGCGGCGCGACCGGAGTCGGGCGCAAACCAGGGGCCAAGGCGCAGGCGCAGCGTGCCCGGCGGGCAACTGAGGCGCCTTCGCTTTTAGGGCGTGGTCTCCGGAAAGGACGGGGGTCCACGGGAGGGGGAAGGACGCGGTCCTCGCGAGCGCTGTGCTCGCCGCGGCGAACGGGGCTGACCGCCGAGCACCACGCCCCGCGAGGCCCGGCGCAGGCGCGGGCCGGGGCAGAGCGGGGCTCCCGGCTGTCCGCGGCTGTCCCCGCGGGAGCGCACCGCTGCTGATACGCCTAGTTCTTCACCCGGGACGGGCAGCCGGGTTGCAGAAACGAGAATTGCGACGCTGGGGCTCTCTGTGGTGCAACAACGCTGGAATCGTGTGGGGTTCCCGCGTCTCTGGGGGCAGGAGTGGGCATCGAGCGACAGCCCGGTTAGAGTGACCACTCCCACCTCTGGGCGCCGCCCGCACCTTGTAGTTAGGTCACTCGTAGGCGGAGGAGGGTGTGCCCACTGGGGGAGTGCCGCGCGGTGCGCCTGACTCCCCCGCACACACCTGGACCTGGGCCTAGGTGTCTCGGCGGGGGCGGGGGCGAAGCTTAGGCTTTTCTTTGGGCCTCCGGCCGCGCCTCGCTCCTCCGCGCCCTGCGGGTCGTCGCCTTCCTCCGAGCCCACTTCTCCCTGGGAGGGAGAGACCCTCGACCCCTGCCCGCCCTGGCCTACTTTCTAGAGAGGAAGCCTGTAGGAAATGGATGCACCTGTCCTGACCGCGTCCCGGTGGTGGTAGATGCGGCCGCGATCTACGTACGCTTTAAAGAAAGCTGTGATACTCTAGGATCGGACCTCGGTCTGGTTATGAATCTCTTTGGGGTTTACAAACGTTTTCGCATTCCATTGTCCCTGCGTTTACAGAAATATTTGGCTCTGTAGAGCACAAACTATGTGCCAAAACCCATGCCTGGGGGATAGAGGGGTCGTCCAAACAGACAAGGGGCACTGCCCTGGAGTTTGCATTTTGAGCCCACAGCACTGGCTCAAAACGAGTTTGGTTTGGGATGGATAGGCAGAAAAGAGATAATGATGGCCCCAACATCTGAGATTGATAGAAGCTTTTCAAAGGACATTGAACCCTAAATAAAAGGCAAGGCAAGAGCTGAACCTGGCCGCCTGTCTTCCAGGCTCCCCACTCTCCCTCGCAGTCAACCCTGCTCAGCGATGCACTGGAGGACGGGCTCACTTTGTGTCTCTGAGGGTATTACCCGACCAGCAACAGACTGAAGAAGAACCTGGAGGCCCCATCAGCCAGTGGTGGGAGTGAAAATCCTCCTTCATCAAGACAACCTGCTTGGCAAGGCCGACTGGCTTGGCCTCGCCAGGCTGGAAATTTCAATTCTGCTTTCTCTTTGTACCTCCCACTAGTGTGCCCAGAAGAAAGTACATCAGATCTACTCCTCCAGAAGAAGGCTTATCACATACTTCATTTACCAGACTGGGAAAAAAAGTCCTGTTAGCCCAAATTCTGACCCTGTTTTGCAGTTAATATTCCCAAATAATAGAGGAGTAAGAATTAAGACCATGGTGGAATGAATGAGGAAAACCATCACCCAGTGTTCTGTCTTACCTCACTCTTCACCATTGCCCTGAACCTGTGTCAGAACTGGTCCTATCTGATAGGGCGAGAAGCAGACAGGCACTGAGAAAGGAGACAGGACTTGCCCAAGGTAGTGGTCAGGATTTAAAACTGCACACCCCACGTGCAAGGCTGCAGCCGTGGTCACACAGCGGACCTTCCGAGGACTGAAATATGGAACCGAACCAATATAATTTCTCTTTGCCTGGGTTCTCTTACCTGGAAAGGTGGTGGTGATGTTAGTTTGGTAGATTAAAAAGATATCCAACACCCATTACGTGCTAAGATTATAATGAGTTTTTCCAAAGTAATGTGAGCTCCTTGTGGGTAGCATCAATGTGGGTGTTATTTATTCTCTGGATGCAGATTACTTGGCTCACCACCATCACAAAATGCAGGGAATATATAATTATATGTACTTAAAACATCCTGCCAAATAATTAGATGCCATGACTTGTTAAGGAATGAATTCTAGGAAGCTCTTACTAGCATTCAGACAGTGAAGTAAAGCATATATGATTATAAACAATACAGAACTAAATCAGAATATCTTGTCCTTCAGAAGAAATCCTGAATGTTTGCTTACTCTATAGAATTCAAAATAATTAATGGATCTGAAAATTCACTTCGATTAATCTGTTCTTGACTAATTTGACCTGACCGACTCAATTCTAGAGCCAAGGAATATTTGGAGCAAAAAGTTGAAAGTGAACCCCCACAAAAATCGTCCTTTTAATTTCTTGGCGAAAACCAGAGCGTGAATAAAGCAAATATGCTTTGAGAAAGAATCTTTGCTCAGATGGCAAAGTCAGTACACAGCAAGTCTGAAAGTTGCCCATGGTGTTTATACATAGCTATAAATAAAAATCATCTGATGATGGGGGTGGGGTAGGAGGATAACCTTGAGCAAATAGCTTTATAATAGGCACTCATAACCAAGATATAAAAATTGACATTAAACATAGAGAAGGAATGAGATGTATCTTACTTGTCAACAGTTCTCTTGGTCTTAGGTTTATTTTGTTGTTGTTGTTCCTTTCAGTCCCCTGACTTACTGAGACAGAAAGTAGAACAGGGTAAGAAACAGCTCTGGAGTTAAATGACTTGGGTTTGAATTCTAGTTCTGTAACTGCCTACCTATGTGAAGTTTGGCAAGTTCACCTAACTTTTTAGAGTGTCAGTTTTCTCATCTATAACGTGGGAATAATCATAATAGCCAAATAGCAAGGTTCTTCTGAGAATTAAATGAAATTATAAATATATAATACCAAAATAGCATGTCTAATAAGTGTTAGATATTACTTTTTTATAATTCCTAAGTGGGCTCTGATTTTAAATACCTTCTATTGGTCAGGCAGGTGGCTCACGCCTGTAATCCCAGCACTTTGGGAGGCAGAGGAGGGAAAATCACATGAGACCAGGAGTTTGATATCAGCCTGGGCAACAGAGTGAGACCCCGTCTCTACAAAAATTACAAAACTTAGCTGGGTGTGGTGGCGTGCACCTGTATTCCCAGCTACTCAAGAGCCTGAGGCAGTAGGATTGCTTGAACCCAGGAGTTCAAGGTTTCAGTGAGCTAAGAGGATACCACTGCACTCTAGCCTGGGGAATGGAGCAAGACCCTGTCTCAAAAAACAAAAACAAAAACAAAAAACTCTCTAATGCCAGTTGGAGTCCTTCAATGTCTGCAGTGAAGTACAGAGTGGTGTTTGGAAACAGAACATAGGGGTATCAAAAACATCATGTAGAGACAAATCCATTGGATGAAGTAGAGATGGGGGAAGAAATTCAAGGACAGGTAGAGATGGAACAAAAAGAACATCCCCTCTCTTCCCTTGCCATCAAGCAGACATTCAGAAGACTTCTATAGAGAGAAAGTCACTTAGGAATAAATCCAAGAATTAATACAGTTAACCAGTCTCATGCTCCTGTCAGCTCAGAATCTTTCTCTGGAAAGAGTGCCATAGTTGAAAAGGATAACATGCTCTTTGTACCGAGGCTTTCTGTGCCCCAGAAGTCCCACAATGAGGTCCTGAGCAGTCAACGTCTTAGTGGCTCTGCTCATGAAAACCTGCCATGCTCTGGGCAACTGGGCCTGCCCAACTACAGGTGTGTGCACTCAGCATACTCACTGTATTTATCTCTATTCCTCTCCTTTGCAGTCTTCAGAAAAATTAAGTTTATACAGCCCTCTCACCTGAAATTAGAATTTCATAGATATAGCCAAAATTGTATGGCCAGGAACTTTGCTGCAGATATAATACAGCCCTTTCCCCAGCTACTGCAGTTTGACTAAAAAAAGACAAATGACCATGTCCCCTGATGATGCCCATAATGTCCAGACAGTATTCTCAGTTACAGGAAAACAATCTCTGACATGGAAGGCAAAGTTCATCACTCCAGAAGGCTGGGTAAACCTTAAGAATACTGTCACCAACTCTGTAGCTATTATAAATCCTATCATAGAACAATGTTTATTGACAGAGACTATTATCCATAATACATTAAATACAAAAAGTACCTTATAAAACAGTATGTTATATCCCCAACTTTATTAAACATATTATAAATATGTGTTTATAAGAGACTTTTTAGAAAGCTACTCGGTAAGGTGTTAATAGTGGTTGCTTCTGGTGAACGTGTGATTGTTTTTTTATCTTCTTTTTGCTTTCTTGATTCTTCTGTAATGAATACATACTGCTTTTATAATTATGAAATAAAATGCCCAGGATATCTGAATAAACATGATAATGCATCTCCTGGCAAAATCACAGCCCCGAAGAACATGTAGCCAACAGTTGTGCTAAATATTCCACTATACCCTGGAATATTACTCAAGAGCCCTGACTTTCTTATGGAAAGACGTCTCAGCTCTCCCATGGCCTTCTCACAAAACATTTCAATACGGCCTGTTCTCGTGCCTTCCCTCTCACTACAAGCGCTTCTCCTCAGCTCAGCTGACCCCCTAGCCCCCACTCCAATGCCATACTCATCCATTCCATGCCACTTTCAGCTGCTCCCTGGGTGGCCCCCTTGTATCTGCATGAACCTACCTGTCATTCATGATCAGTTCAGGCTCCACGCCCTCTGAGAAGTCTTCTCTGCTGACTCTAGGTCCCTCTTGATTGAGGGTGCCCAGTGGATTAGCAGGAGACTCCCAGAGGCTGGTGGAACAACGCAGAGCTGCTAGGATCTGTCAGAGTACAGGGGTGTGAATGGAGGACTTATTGGTGAGCCCATGTGAAATGTTCCCTGAAGACTTATAGAAACACTGTGGAGGAAGGGAACACTTTGCAGGAAGCCAGAGGGGAAAGCTGTTTACATTTTGTTCTTTATTTTCCAGATTAAGCAGTTCACCAGTACTCTAGCTTGGTTCCTGACAAAATTTAACACTTAG